TACGCCTGGTCCTAATCACAGAAAATCGTGTACAGTAATGTTATAGATATGCATAGAAAGATTGATTACATATTATACACCTTTATTTGTTTCAGCTCAGTTTTAAGTCCATCAGAAAACAAATAACTAATAACTAATTCCCAACCCGACATGAGATGATAACTGGCCGAGAGGCCGTGGTTCGTCATATGATTGAGCTGTCTTTTCGGGTCTTATCGGGTTTCCCCTTCCCCGAAATAAATATGTAAATCCTATCCAAAACTTGGCATTTAAAAAGAAATTGACACACGGATTTAAGCGATTGACATCAATTTTAACATAGTATTAAATATAGGTGAATTGTTACCTCGGTAGCGATTCTTATCAGATTTAGGAACCATGCTTTTCACAGAGGGACCAAATTACCGAACTCTAGTTCATCGTACTCACAAAACGTCTTGTTATAGTCATTCATCATAACATACATACATTGTTAACGGTGACTTAAGTTTTCAATTGTCTTGGTTTAAAACCAGCTCATTTGGTCCATATTTAGATCTGACGAAAGTTTGAAATCAAGATAGAAGATTTAAAACATGATGTAAAAGATGACCGTAGTTACAACTCACTGAAGTTATCCATCAGAAACGCAACAACTTCAATGACCAGTTATTTCAAAGCATCACGAACGAAACATAATTACCTCATTCATTAGATTTTCAACACTTTATGTTACATATTTATCTCTAGCGAAATCTCATCCATTCTCTTGGCGAATCTGGGCTATGAATTAAAATCTTCAATTGTGTTCGGGAACTTTTTAAAAATTACAACGAGAATTTATCGATACCATCTATTGTTTTGGCCCTCAAAAATGTATTAAATGAAGTAAAAATACTTAAATAATGAATGATTAAAAACAGCAAACCGAGTTAAGCTATATTGAGAACTAACTTTTTAACGAAATCGAAATTGTAATGGGATTTTATGAACACCCAATATATTTCTATTTTCCACTACTCTCTATGATGAGATCAATATAACCCCACGAAATCATCGTCCCATAAAGCGTCCAATCATAGAGGGTCAAGTATCAAAAACCACACATCGTTAACGATGACTTAGTTATTTGAATTGCCTGGGATTCGAATCCATCGTGTTTGGTCCATATTTAGATCTGAACTCATTTAGATGAGTTTAGGATAAAAAAAAGTTTTAAAACATGATGTAATCGTATGACCGTAGTTACTTCCGACTGAAGTTATCCATCAGAAACACGACAACTCTGACATAACGTTCGAAATGAGGATTTGACTTCAATGACCAACGATTTGAAAACTACACGAACGAGACGGTGACCGTACATTTGAACCCACGTACATTTGAACCCATGTGTATATCCACGGGTTCAATCTATATGCGGGTGCTAAAACCCATGGGTTAGGGTTAGTGTGGGTTCAACTATCCGAAAAACAAAAAAAATTCCATAGGTGCAATAGCATACAGGTGCAATTGCCATGGGTTCAAATGTACGTGGGTTCAAATGTAATGGAACCGAACGAGACATAATCAACTCATTCATCAAATTCTTACCACTTGCCGTAACAAGTCGTAAAGCGAGTTCTTGACATTGCTTTCCCATGAATTATAAAAAAAAATAACCGCGCGTTTTGATCTTAGCAATTTGTTAATTTACTGATGTAATGAAGTTGTGCAACAATTTGATATGTAATGTCATCAACCCCGAGACTTGACCTTTAATTGAACTCTACATGCACTTTCACCTACTTTACATATTTTGAAAATAATCGTCCCGAACTTGTCTATTCCCAGCCTACACACGGGTTCCTTATGTTCATGGATGATAGAACAAGATTTATTAAACGTTGATGTCAACGAAGTTTTTGAATCATCTTTATTATGTTATAATAGGATAATAGAAAAATGAAGAAAGTTCAAGTTCAGTAGAATTTAGGTCAGTAGGATTTCCCTGTTTAGAATTGAAGAATAGGAAAGTAAAAGAAAAAAAATGGGGACACTTTAATTTTTTATTCATTTTAAATACTGCTATCTTAGTTAAATGATATCGAATGTAACCGCAGTTTTGTTTGACTAATTTATCCATCATTAAGCTTAATGCTTTACTTTTTTGAAGAGCATTTGGTTGGATGGGAACAGACGTTCTCTATAACAATTATGTCGATAATGAAAGTTTATTTTTTGTATTATATTTTCATTTCTGAACGTCTGTCGTGGAAACTTGAACTGATCTTAAGTTTCGAAATTTGTAGTTGTACGTTGTGAACTTATCCAGTTGTCATTTTGTGCCACACACGCCCGGTCCTAATTCTAATCACAGAAAATTGTGTACGTATAACAAATATAGATTACATATACACCTTTAACTGTTTTTGGTTGAGTTCCAAGTTTAGTAAGTCGAAAACTGCAAGTTCATGCATCTGAAAACAAATAACTGGCTGACGAATCCCATAACCGACATGGAATGGTAAATGAATGAGGGGCCGTGGGTCGCCATATGATTAGGTAGTCTTATCGACTTTCTTCTCCCTTGGGGATAAATATGTAAATCCTATTCAAACCGCGCTTTTGAAAAGCGATTGACACATGAATTTACATTGAGTTTAACTGAGTATTGTAGATCGGTGAATTGTTATCTCGTTCGCGATTCTTATCAGATTTAGGAACCATACTTTCTACAGAGAGACCAAATTACCGAACTCTAGTTCATCGTACTCACAAAACGTCTTGTTATAGTAATTCATCATAACCATACATTGTTAACGGTGACTTAATTTTTCAATTGTTTTGGATTAAGGAACCAGTACATTTGGTCCATATTTAGATCTCACGAAAGTTTGAGGTTAAGATAGAATTTTCAACACATGATGTAATCGCATGACCGTAGTTACAACTCACTGAAGTTATCCATCAAAACCTGACAACTTCGAAGACCAGTTATTTCAAAGCATCACGAACGAGACATAATTACCTCATTCAATAGATTCTCACCACTTTATGTTACATATTTATCTCTACCAAAGTCGCATTCATCCTCTTTGCGAATCTGGGCTGAAATCTCCAATTGTGTTCCGAGCTGATCATGGGCTGCGGTTGACAACACGGGGTTCTAGAATCTAGATCTGTGATTTGTTGGTTCAATCGCGATCTAATCAAGGATATGAAAAGTGTTCATAAAGTCTTGAACTTTTTTAAAATTGCAAAGAGAAGTTATCGATACCATATATTGTTTTGACTCTCACAGATGTATTAAAAGTTAAATATCCTAAATAATTACTGATTTAAAAACAGCAAACCTGGTTAAGATATATTGAGGACTGACTTTATAACAAAATGGAAATTGTAAAGGGATTTTATGGCACCCAATATAACCCTACTTTCCACTACTTTCTATGATGAGACCAATATAACCCCTCGACGTCATCGTCCTATAAAGCGTCTAATCATAGAAGGTCATGTATCAAAAACCACACATCTGCCACGGTGACTTAATTTTTGAATTGCTGTTATTTGTAACCATTTCATTTGGTCCATATTAAGATCTGAGAAAAGTCTGTAACCAAGATAGAGGTTTTAAAACATGTAATCGTATGACCGTAGTTACATCCGACTAAAGTTATCCATCAGAAACCCGACAACTCTGACATAACGTTCGAAATGAGGATTTGACTTCAATGACCAACGGTTTGAAAATTTCACGAACAAGACATAATTAACTCAGTCACAAAATTCTCACCACTTTCTGTTACATATTTAGCTCTAACGAAATAAACTGAATTTATTCCTAAAATGACGATGAAGACCGGTGACTTAAACTTTATGCTAGTAGTTCTAGCGTTACTCATTTACCGCGCAATTGATCAAAATGTCTTCTTTGCTACCCGTGAGAACAGGTGGGTGATCTAGGATTCAGTTCACGCGGTTTACCAAAGTGAAAGTAAAATATGATGTAAATGTGACTCTCGTCAGCGAACTTTGCAAACCCAGTGAAAACCTCAAGTTAGTTGGTGAATAATAGTCCTAATTAAAAAGCAGTTTAAATTTTAAACTTTTGTCATGCACCCCTAACAACACCAAATCAGAAAATTGAAGGATTGCTTTATAAAACCGAATGCAGGTCCCGGTCATTGCAATAATTTGACATTTTAGATCTTTTTTCGAAAACTAAGGGTCTTGCAGTAAAATACCCCGTATGGAGTACAATTAAAAATATTCTCAACAAAGAGAAATTTTGAATTTCCTAACTCAACCGAAACTTCAAAGAATGATATTAAGATTGGAGTATGCGATACGACGATATATTCAAGACTTTCGGTAGACTGATCTGATTTTGAAAAGTATTTCCATCATGTGTTTCCTACCGCGACTTTTATATTCACTGTGAGATTGTGGTATAGCTGGAACGGTGAGCGTTAAATTTAAACTATATTAAACAACATCTCAAAAATGGTACTCTCGTAGTATGTGTACCAGGTTAGGGTTAGAGAATAATTTTATTCCGATTTTCCTTTTTTTTAGTTCTATTACGAGTTCGGGGACTGTCTGTGATAGCAAAGTGAAAATAGCCCGTACATAGGCCTCAGTCCCTTTATACAACTTCAACTTAATGTAAAGTGGGCGAGCAAAATTCGTTACTTTCATATTGGTACATACACTTCTGGAGCGCCCAAACAAGTGTAATTTCTCAACCATGAATTTTCGCACTTTCCGCATGTAAATTTAAAGCGTTTGCCACTAAATTAACACAAATCTTGAAATGTCCCAAAACAACAAGGAAATATAAAGTGTTGTTTTTTTTATCTTCAACTTGATGTAAAGTGGGCGAGCAAAATTCGTTACTTTCATATTGGTACACACACTTCTGGAGCGCCCAAACAAGTGTAATTTCTCAACCATGAATTTTCGCACTTTCCGCATGTAAATTTAAAGCGTTTGCCACTAAATTAACACAAATCTTGAAATGTCCCAAAACAACAATGAAATATAAAGTGTTTTTTTTTATCTAAATAGTAATTGGCAATTGCAGTAGAAAATATGCATGCAATAAATAATAACTGCTAGAAGTTTCTGGTCATCATCACATTAAACAGAAATGGCGCCAAAATGTATTGACAGATTTGAAACTTGAAATAAGTCTCAAACACGATTACTTGGCGCCACCTTCCGGCGATAGCTTCATCGTTCTTCGCTACAGACGTCAAACAATAAATTGTCAGCTTTTTTAGCCGCATTGAAAAAGGTCCGCTAAATGCAGTCCCACGATTGGGCGCTTCCGTGATATGTGAACCAAGATGGCGGACACTGGAACGTAGTATGTATACCAGGTTAGAATTAGGCCATAATTCTACTCCAATTTTCCTTATATTAGTCATATATATTACGAGTTCGGATCCTAGCCCGTACTATTTGTACCTGAAATTATGGCCTAACTCTAACCTGGTACACATAACACGTTCCGGCGTCCGCCATCTTGGTTTACATACTGCGGGCGTACCCCCGATTGGTATAAACAATTTTGGAGCAAACAGACTTCTACAAAATCGCTGTATTTAACAAGAGGCAACCAAGCCCTATTTAAGTTGCACAGAAAAGCCATCAAATATATCAAATTTGATCTTCGAAATGCTCAAACCAGGTTTCACACAATCTAATTCAAAAAGTAACAAAAAGAAAGCAAGTTTTGCTAATAATGAAATAAAGTAATAGTCGCACCTGACAGACAGCTCAATAAATACGCAAGTAAAGTTGACGGAAAGAAAATAACATGATGCACATAAAGGAACGTGCAGTTCGGAAGAAATTAGATATTTGTTCTACTAAAAAAATCATTCTCAGGATTTTGAAGATTTGCTCCTCTTTAAGCCATTAATTTTTTCATCGAAACACGGATTCAGGTCGAACTTGTTGAATGATTAACAGTTATATAAGAAAAAGTAGTTTTTTGAAAATTTAGAAATTTCAGATGGGAGCTTTTTCTGTAAATTATTCCTACTCCTGTTAAACTTTGCCATGTGGGAATAAAATTCTAGTCAGTGATTTTGTTGAGAAATAAATCCATTTGAGATATGCTAACTTAGTAGCCAATATATCTATAGTGGCAGAATATTAGAATAGTACAGCATTTAGATATGAAGCATCAGGTCTGGTAAAGAAGGTCATGTCTTGTTAATAACGAAAAGAATAAAGTAAAAGTCGATCATTTCATAAATTAATTTGCTAACCGAAAATATGGAGGATAATCAAGGGAGTAATTTCAAGACGAACCAGAGCAGAACTATTCTCCGAACACACACAGGCATTAGTCATTCACAAAACCTCGTCAACGAGATGAAATGAATTGAAATAAATTGTATTCGGTCTGGATCTAAGGCCACATGGTCGAAACGAATATGAAAATAAATATAAATAAATAACTTTCCCACAAAAAGCAGCTTTCCGTAATTTTCAATACAGTTTATACGATATCTTATCCTGGATGAGTTTCACAGTAAAATTTCGGTAGAAGCAAATTTTTTTGGGCAAAAAATTTTTTCCGCCGTTTCGACTTGCGATAACAAGTCATTTTTCACGACGCTTGTTCACTTTTTTCGCCCCGAACAAGATCATGTACAAGCGATCCCTGATATCCAGCGATGCCTACTAAAAATGATATAACGCAACAATTAGGTGTCGCCTGGGTAACTTGGTTTCGCTCATATTGACTCATAAAGTACAGGAAAAACTAAGAAACAAAGATATCATACATATATTGTCTTATCTAAAGAGTTCTCGTCTACACTATTAGTAGATTCAAATACATCGGAATATTCGCTCGGGGTATGCCTAGGCGAGATTTTCGATTTTGGTCTCGAAGGTACTGAATGTGACCTTTGTCGAAATTCTTCATCAAGATCGTTAGATGGGGCTAGAGCACCGCTGAATCTTGATTTTGTGGGAGAGTAATTTTGTTTGTCGTCTGAAATGGAAGCGTGATCTCGAGCAGTCACATAAGTTGATACCGATTCTGTAACAATATGATCCTCTTTGCCCTCCTCTATGAGATCTAAAGTACTTTTATGGGGTGGTGATTTCGTATTGATGACGCCATTCCCGTTGCCATCGTTACCGACTGGATAATCGTTTTCATGTAGTTGTTCTTGTTGTTGTTGTGAACTAAACCTTGATCCAATCCTACGGAATAATTTAGAGACTGCAGACCGGAAACTACGTCGACGACCTACGGCCTTTGGTGATGCTTCCAGGTCGTCCTTATTTAGGCGTCGACGTGGTGAATTAAGCTGAAATGATATATAAAATTATTTTAAACAATTGGAAACATGAATGCACAAGTAGTTCTTATCGACATTTGAATGGTGGAACTTCCTCAGCAAATGAATATGTATACAGACATACAAGTTCGCTATATTTAAACAAACTAAGTATAATAAACCTAATTTATCGATAGTCGTGGTGTTTAATCGTAGTTTCGCGAAACTCTATGGTTCCGCCAGTTCAGGGGTTATTCGAGTTTACTTTCAAATTTAAGAGTCTATAAAAATATATGTTTTTTGTTAAAATATAATAAAATACCTCTATCAGGTTTGGCAATATTATTAAACTTTCTACACTTTAAAGATCATTTTGTTTTTGTCGGTATTAGGTTTGCTTTTATGTATATTTATCATTTTTAGTACAAGGCAAATAATCTATTTCATAGAAGCTCCCCTGTAATGTTTCATACGGGTACATTATACAAACAGGTTAAAATCAACTGATGTAGTCAACCGAAAAAAACTTTTTTCGAAAAATTGAGCTCAAACCTAATTTGCGCAAAATAACACTCGGCATGCTAAAGACTTTATATTGATCTATAAAATTGGCTATTCTTCGAATTAACTACAAAATAATTTTACAAAATTGAGCAGGGCAAGGGACTTTATATTTTGGCGCTAATAAATATTAAGTCTCCAACTTAATCTGCATACCATACAAAACAACTGAGCACGGAAGGGCGACGATATTTTTTTAATCTTATGATCATAGGAGTGAACGGGATACTGGGTAATAGAGGTGTATACAAGAGCTTTTTTGTTGGTAAAAGTTTAAAATGGGAAAGGAGACAAAATAAAATAAAGAAAATAATGAACTTACGAATCTGGCCATAGGTCCAGACATATCAGGACTCGATCTTGAAACTTGAGGTTTTTCACTTTGTGATCTTCTTAAACTTGTACCGATGCGATTTCGATTTCTGAATTTCTTTCTCAAAGAACTGAAACCATTTCCGAAACCTGAAGGATAACGATATATACATTATTTCCTGTGAATGTTTAGTATTTCTTTTTCCAAACAAGGCTCTGTGGAGGAACTCGGAAGGAATGTGCTCCGTCTCAACATGGCTTTCCCCCGAATAGCCAACGCAACCTAGACGGTAGCCTGGGTGACTGGAATACTTGTTCTAATTGGGTGGGGTGGTGTACGTGATTTGACAGCAGCATGAGTTTATCTGGGACCAAAGCTGCCCCGCTCCTGTTTAAGACTGCACTTACATATACAATACAAATAAGGCTATGTAAATGAACTTGGAGGCGTTGGAGTAGGTTGCGTAAGCCCGACTTGTCACCATAACCTGGTTAGCGAGCAGGTTTATGTTAACGACTGGGGAAATTGTTATAATCTGGGAAAGTGATTGAGGAACAGTTTACCAGCGATAAAAATTTATACAGATCCAAGTTGCCTTTTTCCTGTACGAGCAAGCATACACACCCAGTGTACATTTTATTTTTGTTTTCAATATCTGGGATCCTTATATAAATAACTCTCGATATATTTATCAATATGTTATAAACCTCTGTGGGGTTTATAAACAGCGCTTCAGACTAATGTGTTATTTGCTTGAGTAGTACACCCTGGAAATACATTAAAATAATGTTGTTACCTCCTCCGCTAATTATAGTTTTTGCTTGATTGTTTCGAGGAGCGCCTCTCTTTCTGTTTGCATACTCTGATGAATGTATGGTTGCTCTTCGTTTCTTTTTTCGTCGCGCTGCCGCTGCTTCACTTGCGTAACTTACGGGGATATATGGAAGAGCGTCTTCACTAGAGAAAAAAAAAAGATTTTGTATATATGTAACTGGTCTTGATGTTTTTTTTACAGACTTTATACGAAGTGCACAAATAAATGAGCAGTTTTTTTTTTTTTTTGAAGAACCGGAATTATTTCAGTTCAAAATGTCTTACTCAGTTTAATATACTTTGGATGAGTAGCGTGAGGATCGAATCTGGAATCTTTCACTTGCAATGACAAAATAGTTAAGACCAAATGTTCTTATCACAAGGTACACAATATAGTTGAAGACATAGTACAATATATATGAAGCTGTAAAGTCGAATGGAGCTCTACGGCTGGTAGCGTTAGAAGTGGAAGTCGGTATATATGTCAATCTTGTATAACCAGGGTTGCCATACCGTGCTTATTTCTAAGATTTGTGCTTATTTTCTAGCGCGTGTCTTATAAAGTAACGATGTGCTTATTTCTAAGAAAAGTGCTTATTTTTGAGTTACGTGCTTATTTTGTCTTAGAAACATGGATGACTCGTTCATGTTTTGCGTACAAAGCTTCCGTAGAAACGAGGGACCATGTCTTTTCATCATACGCAATGCATTCTCACGCTTCGCTACGTTATTATTGTGACGTAACAATTAACTACGTTCCACTTCACGTCTCGCTCACTCAGCGGGAACTGTTTCTGTGAATGGTAGGGTTTGTGGTATATCCAGACGAACACACAGTTACAATAGACCTTGCTTATCTTTATGGAGACAATGAGTAAGCGTAAGCATGAGTACCGTTACGAATATGAGAAGGAATTTGCTAATGTGAAACAAAGCCGAAAGGGTAAGAGCTATGCTCACTGCTGCTATTGCGACAGCGATATCAACCTAGAGGCCATGGGAAAAACAGCCATTAGTGCCCACAATACTACAACAAAACACAAGAATTTTGCAAGAAGGATTGTAGGAAATCATAGTATGAAAACCTTTTTTACAAGCAAAACCTTGCCGACAAAAATAGACTACCAAGTGGCGGCTTCTGAGGGTGCTTGGGCATTTCATACTGCAAAACACCAGCAATCATTTCTTTCCAACGACTGCACCACGCAACTAATCAAAACGATCTTTCCTGATTCCGAGATCGTTAAGAAATTCTCAAGTGCTAGAACAAAGTCTACAGCCATTGTCACAGGAGTTCTTGCTCCATATGCTCATAAAAAAATGCTGTCAGAACTCGGAGATCAGCCATTTTCAATATCCGTTGATGCCTCCAACCACAACGAAGTGAAACTTTTTCCTTTGGTCATCCGATTTTTTAGCTCCAGAGTTGGAGTTAGGGTGCGTATTCTCGACCTGCGATCGATGCCCTGCGAGTCCTCTGAACAGATAATGAACTTTATTGTTTCTTCTCTTGAGGAAAATGGCCTTGAGTTGAAAAAGGTGACATCCTTCTGTGCTGACAATGCAGTAGTAAACTTTGGGGGTTGCAAAAAAAAGGGAAAAAACAACGTTTTCAATCGTCTAAAAGAACGAACTTCTGCACGGCTGATCCCAATTGGCTGCCCAGCACATATTTTGCATAATGCGGCCGAAAAGGCTGCCGAAAGGCTCCCAGTCGACATTGAAACAATTGTACTTAAAATATGTAGTCACTTCAAAAGCCAAACTGCCAGAGCGGAGAGTCTTAAGCAATTCTGCTCTCAACTTGAAGCCCAGTACACAGCTCTACCTACTCACACGCCAACGCGGTGGACTACATTAGACAATGTGGTGGAAAAGATCATAGATATTTGGGAACCACTCAAACATCATTTTTTGTCATTAAAGTGTCCGCCTCGAATTCTTGAAGAATTTTTTAAATCAGAACAATCGCTGATTATTATAACCTTCCTTCACAGCGCTCTGCTAGTTTTCAAGAAGCCACTATTACTATTACAAAAAACAACTGCATTATTTCCTCAATTGGCTGATATAATCGATTCGTTCAAGGACGCAATTTCACAGCGTCGAAGTTCTGAGTTTTATGGGGCAACAACAGCTGAATTGTTAAAAGGGCTCAAGAATGACCATGCTGAGATGCTTAAATCAAGGTTTCAAGAGTTTTACACAATCACTATGGATTACATTGATAAGTGGTATCGACCAGAAGAGCACCCAGGTAACTTAGACTGGACATTGCTGAGAAATCGGAAAGTGAAATACGAAGAAGTATTAGAAATGGCTAAACAAATTGATCCCCATATAGCGATGGCAGATGAGTTATTTGATGAGGTATCAGCTCTCAACAGCCTACTGGAAAATAATCCTGATGATGTGTTCGACAAGGATGATCCAGAGAAGAAGTGGATGAATATTTTATCTGAAACCGATTATCTACCGCTAATATACAAGCTAGTCAGCATCGTATTTTCTATCCCTGTTAGCAATGCCTTCGTGGAGCGGGTATTTTCTCTTGTATCAGCGCAATGGACCAATGAAAGAAACCGTCTACGCGAACAAGCTGTCAGAGCCCTGATACAAGTTAGGGTAAATTTAGAAGATTTCAGTTGTCCTGAAATGCACAACCTAATTTCCAGTGACCAGAGACTGCTGAAACAAATTGTTGGTGGCAATAAATATAAATGATTTGACCGGTGTTCAGCTCAATAAAGTTGATATTTAAAATTATGTGTTTATGTTATTTAGAAATTCATTTGTTACCTACATTTTGGGTTAGATGGCTGCGCAGACGCCCTTTGAGTTGTTGTTTCCTGTGCAAGATGTAGAATGCTGGATGCTTATTGTGTGTACCTACCTTTCTGTAGCTTATTACATTTTAGAGGTTGCGTTTGGCTGTTATTTCGTGGTTTTCCATGGCTTTGCGCGATTTCGGGACTGCATGCAACCTTGTTCAAAGCGAATTCGAATAATAAAAAAAATAATAATAATAAAAAAGTTGAAGTGCGGAAGAGACTTGTGTATGATTCCTTCCTCATTCTCATTCTGCGTTTCTGCCGTTGTTAAGTTCACCCCCCCCCCCGTGCTTATTTTTGGCTCCAGGTCGATGGCAACCCTGTGTATAACGCAGAATCCCGATAGGAATTCCTAGGCTGAGGGCTCATAAATTTCGTAAAACCAAAATTTCACTAATCTAGGATCAGAAGTCAGGGTCGGCAATGTTTCATTCTAAAGTCTAGTCTAGACCTAGTATGATCAATCACACCAGAGTTGAAAATGTTTCAATTAGAAGTCGGAATCAGTCCAAGATCTAAGCCCTGATTCCAAGCCCAAGATTGAGCCCTGGACCTAACTTAATAGTATTTTATTATTTGGATTGGAATTTGAATTGGAAGTCGAAAAAATAGTCAAATTTTCTCTCAAGACGAGCCGAACCTAAAATCCGTATAATGAATTGATGACAGTTAGCAGTTACATTGAAAAAAGGGGGTTTAAGAGAGCAAAATTTATTTGCACTCGAATAAAAATATACTCACGTCATTACAGATAACTCCGGTGTGCTGGAAGAAAGAGTACTCAGTCTTGAAGCCTCGTTAGATTTCATTTGACTTATTCTACGATGAACTCCTTCATGTGAAGAATAAGCCGAGTCAGTGTTGTTATAACCAAACTGGTCATATGTTGAGGATCTAAAATAAAAATAACTCAATGAGTTTTGCACATGTTTGCTTAATAAAGATAACTGACAAGGGGAAGATTACCGATATAAGAGTTGCGTGGGTATTTTTGCACTAAGAGCTATTCGAAAGCATATTCACAAAATATTGAACAGTTAAAGTCACTGCAGTGCTGTACGGAAAGCATCTATGTATGCATCAATTTCAAACTAAAATGGTCCAAAACTTACATCGACTAAACAATAAATCCGACTATTGAATTCGCGCTAAATCGGACATTTTAAAGCAGAATGAATCTCTCATTTTAACCTGTAGAATTTTTGGACTCTTTGTCGTATAATTCACATTACCGCTAGTCAGTTAGGACTGTGTGTCTTCAGTACCCAAGTCGTTGCATTTGGAACCATTAAAAAGACTAGATGGTTCACGATAACTTATCTGGTCATCGGAATATAGGTCACTGTTCGCCATAATATTTCACCATCTTGACGACTTCCTTTTTTTGCAAATATAAATGTAATTTAAAATATATTTTAAAATAAATACATTTTATAAATGTATTTTAAAATATATTTTTTTTTGTAAATCGAAATCCTCTAATACCAATGATTGTTACAACGTACCTTTTCCTATATTGTATTGGCGTTATTTCTCCATTCGAACGCTCGTCGTCACTAAGTTGCTTTATTCGTTCCTTTTCAAGTTCTTCTCGAGCGAACATGACAACAATTTTTGGAATATCCCGTCTGTCAAAGTACAGTTCTTCCGGTAATCCAGGAATGCTCAATTCGCTACTTATTTGAGACACAACGTCTATCTCAGTCCTTGAACTCGCTGAAGCAATTTCATTGGCTGTTTCACTGATGACGTCATCGACTCCAGAATCACGAGGTACGTTGCTACTTGAAGATCGTGACCGTGTTGTGTTTTCTTGAACCATTTGCTCTGACATTGGATGAATCGGCGGTGAACCACGGCCTGTAACAGTTTTTACATGAAAATGTGAGAAAAGAGATACCAACAACATTGTCACAGGTGGCCAGCAGGCTTTCATGTTTATTCGGCGCTCCAGAAGTGTGTGTACCAGTATGGAGGTAACTGATTTTGTTCGTTCACTTTACACCAAGTTGTATAAAAGGACTGAAACTCATGGACAGGGGTTATATTCACTTGGCTAACACATACAGTCTAGGTACATATACTACGGGAGTACCGAAATTGTGGTAAATTATGGATATTATAAAGAGAGAAATTAGAGCCATGACAATCGTCATTATGGAAATGAAAAGGACATCACGCGATAGGGAACATCGAAACCGCGACAGATCGCATATTGAATAAAACGGAACCAGTAATGAATGTCAAAGGAATACCGGGGCGCCAAATCCGGTTCAAATACTCTTCGAAAAATTATTTAATCGAATCCCAATATAAGATGGTAAGGAGTAATTTCTCAGGCAATTTGAATTCTAGACGGTGTGTAGGTGAATAGATCCTGAATGGGTTAACCGATGTTAAAGCCGTTACTTTGATGAAAAAGGCCGCATCTATGGGGATCCATAAGGTTTCGACTGACTTTGTCCTAAGATCCCGGCTGTGTGTGATTTACCATGTAAATAAGTCCACCTGATGTAATTGGTTAAAACCAATATTTGCAAGACAAGATTCATGGCAAATCCTGTGGCTTACGCCCAAAGCTTTCCACAAATAACACCCACACAGCGACAGAAAGAATCGCAAAACTATAACTATATACACACAAAGCAATACCTGATGAACTTATTTCTGAATCCAGTAACGATTGTACTGATGTTGATGGGATGACTTCTCGTGAACTTTCTAAAGCGCTGAGTGATGACGATGAAACTTCGCTCAGTGTTTCTGTGGCTGGTTTCGGGAAAATCTTGTTCTGAATATACAAGAATATTATATTTTTATATAAAGCAATAGCATACCTTTAAGTATTTACCTCTGAACAAGGCACTGTACAATCAAACACTGTTAACAATTACGCTAATGAAATAAAAATGTAATTTTATGTGTCGTTTTAAAGACAATTATAAACCAACATGATTAAAAAAAGAATAACACAATAAGGGGAGTTCAACTGGACGTATCTCGACCTTGAGCTCCATTTGTGAGAGCATGTCATAGACTTACAAGCCCCTAGCTTTATGTTTATTCATTTTATGTTCTTTTAACTTGAATCTCAACAAGATCCCAATTGGGACACCGCTTGCCTATAGGCCGGAGGTGGGCAAGGTTTTTAAACCAAGGACCATATTTTGCCCACCTGAACTGGCGGGCCATGTAAGTGTAACGTAAAAAGTGACATTTTATGAACAATATTTACAATGCTAAAAAATCAAAAGTGGAAAACAATAAGCCTCGTGCCAAAACTAATTTAATCACAATCTCAACAAATTCCTTGAGATAATTTTTAGCTGAAACATCAAAATGTGGTTTTAGATTGTATGTGGCAGCATCAAGCGGGCCAAATTGGATTACCCAACAGGCCGGATTTGGCCCGCGGGCCGTTGTTTTCCCATGTCAGGTATATGCGGAGGTCGTAAGCAATATTGTAAATGTAAATTCATCACAAATAAATATGCACACAATGATGCTTCCTACAAACCTGTTGAATAGTAGGCATTACACCGTTTTCCTCTTCCTGCTGAGTAACTCCACTGAGTGAATCCCCAGGAAAGAATTTATTTGACAGTTCCGATACGTGTGTATTGTCATTCAAGGGCTCAAAATTACTTATGACGTCACCATTGTCTGTGACGTTATCAGTGTTTTGTTCCTTTTTGAGATCACTAACGTCATCTTTCATTTTTATGACGTAAGCGGTGACGTGATCGCAAGGACGATCTAGTTCGTCGCTGCTCCCGTCACTTTCTTGTCCTTCATCTTCGTCTACACTTAGGTTTTCAAATGTGCTTACTCGTCTCAAAGATCCGCATGTTGAAGCTGTGGAAAATGTATCTTCTTGGTTTTGCGGTTGGAAGGTCAGAAGGTCACTGAAAGATTGAGTGAAATTATAGTGAAAAATAATAGTGAAAAAATTAAAATTTCTCGTTGTTTTAGCTAGTTTGCTGGTTTAAAACAAAATTTGAAAGAAAAATATTCTTACTTGGCAGAACTCCAAGCGGAACTTTTTTTCGAAAACTCAATTTTCTCAAAGCCCGTATTATCAGAACAGGATTGAGATCTTGTAGTTTTGACGTCGACTGGACTGTCCCATGATTCCTCGTTTTCTTCGAGTATTGCTTCAAGAGTAGGGACGTAGTGACAGTACTCGTAGCTAAAAAATAATGTTTGTTAAAGTATTTATAGTATCAAATATAAGATCTTATTATTCAGAATGATTGAAGTTAAATCAATTACACTTATGAACAAATAAGGTTTCTTGAGTTGTAGAAAAATAAGCTGTCAGGACTGTGTTGCGGGTAAAATCAGAGCGGGGTTGGGTTTTTGTAAGAAAAATGGTTTGGATTTTTCAAATCAATATATTTTCACTATAAAAGTAAACAAGGTATTGCTCAAATAAGTCACACCATGGGACATTCCCTGGAAATACATTTGCGTAAGACACCCAAAATTATTTGAAGCAAAATTATATAATCCTCATTTAATATTCATAAAATCCTTGAGAAAATAATGGACCGTAAGCATGTGAGACGGAATTGAGGCGCAAGTATTATGAGTGGAATAAATATGTGGAGACTAGTTGGCAACTATTTTGTTTTCAACTGCAGTGGTTACAAATTATTCTTGGTATTTATATGCACAAGGCAACCCAACAAAACCCACAAATTTCCTAATTATTCCTACAAAAATGTAGAATATATTTAGTTAACGGCTGAGCCCTGTTTGTGTATGATTGCACCCAAAAATTTCAGTAACATGGGATACTTTGCACAAAAGCTATGTTCTCTCTAAAATATGTTCCAAATTGCCTACTGTTTTTTTTTATCATCGTTATGTTTTATTTTATTTTTTTATTTATTCATTTTTGGGGGGCATTACAAAATGCAATCCATTTCCAATTCTTACTCTTGTGCTGGTATGGAATCTGGCAATGCCATGAATTCGTCTTCATTATCGGGAAGTACATGGGGAACCATCCATCTCTGAATGGAGAGACATTGTTCTGTAAAAAAATGATAACGCATCATTATAACATTCATTTCAGGATATGTTCGTGAGCGTGATGATCTACTTGTTGAAGCATTAGTCGTCTGAATTTAATTAGAAACGCGGTCTAATGAACTCTCGCAAGGGTGCAAGCTCACCAGGGACGCAATAATTTGTAAAAGCCGGAACCGCTATGATCCCTGGTATTTAATCTCTTAACGTATCAGTGATCGATTGGCCAGAAATAGAAGGTAACTTCCGAAACAAAGGTCTACCGCAAAGAACATCAATGATACTGAAAATACATTCCAGCAACTAACAAAATTCCAAGGCATTTTCATTCCATGTTTATTTCCTTTCATTCCGAATGTTCATGTTAAGATTACATTTCTGGTGAATTTTATTTTTATTTCAAACGATAGCAAACAAGTACGCCAATAAATGCATCCGGTAATTTCAAAATCTCATATTTGTGATATTCATGGTTCAAAATCGATTTTCTTTATATCATTGTCCCTATAATTGCTTGTAACTTTATTCTTTCATTTAAGCGTATATTATATATCATTACTCTGCAAATCTTACCTTTCCACGGAGCTGGTTCCATGGACGGTGAAGTTGGATCTGAGCTATCAAAGGTGTCTTCCTCACAGTGAAAGTCATCCTTGTCGTTGAACAATACTTCGTCTTTGTCTATGTTACTCAGGGTAACAGCTCTGTAAGATAAAAGGTAGGTTAGTGAAATAGGCAGGATTTGTGACTGTTCTTTAAGCGGTAGCACCGTCGCTTCAAACAAGATTTGAGAGAAATTGCTTTCACGACTGAAATTGCTAAGATTAAAAGCAAAATATTATATAAATAGAGGCATATCTTATATGATTCATCAATGATTATGAGGTGGATGGGTATGAGAAGACCTTTAATACAAGAGGGCCAGATGCAAATGACTGGATGAAACCGCATGTGGCACCTTCATTTAACTGTGGGCCGCAATTGGCCCGCGGGCGGCAGGTTGCACACCTCCGATTGGAGTCTTCACTGACCAAGGTGAAAATGCGAACCTATAGGTAAAACTTTCTGACGAAGAATGTTATCACGCTAACAGTTGTCAGATTTCTACAGCAGGTTCTACAAAATTTCTTTATTTTCATTGAGTACATTTAAGTGCAAAGAAGGTTTCAATGGCTGGAAAATCAGCTGGGGTTTAGTATTATTGGGGAAATCTGCCACTTCCGACGTTCTATCAGTAATGCAAGACGCAAGGAAGATTTAATCAATATCTTTTGTCCTAAACATGTAGCTTGTATATACAATACATAAGGTTATATGGCTGATATCATAAATTGCACTTGAGCTTATTTCAAGTCTACTCAAATATATCGTAATAAAGTATGAATAATATACCTTTGGCAATTGCCAGATATGGGACTTGGTGCAAGGACATTGTCAGGTAGCAAATCGAAATGTAAAACTGGAGAACATTTTGGAGAAGCAGGAAATGATGATTGCGGTAATGAGAGTTGGTGGCTGCATGCAAAATGGAATAAGCTTTAATTATACATTAAAAAGGAAAGCATTTAGACAAATATCTCAAAAATGTAGTCTGACCTAGTTGTATTATAAGGAAGGCAGAAAAGGCCGATGGAGTAAGCAAGCTAGCTATAAGCATTGAGTGAGCATTATGTAAATTATCATTGCTACAAGAATGCATCCACGGTTTCATCATACAAGCTATAGGAATGCAAAATGTGAATTTTTCATTCTGTCTCTATACAACTACTTTATTTTTATGTTTGCATTAAGTATGTTTTGATGGCGCATTTGTTTCAAGTTTGAAAAAGCACGAATTAATGAAAATTTGAAAAACACAAACCAAAAATTACCTTCTGATCGGCGATCCCTCGAATATTGCAATCTCATCACTGATCTGTATTTCTGAGAAGTGACAAAGAATATATTTCATTTATATTCGATATAAGAACTTCGGAAATATCGTTTAGTATCAGTATCTGCATGTACGGGGCCTTGTTTGGAGAAAAGGGCGCGAATAATAGTCGTATAAAAAGTAACAAAGCATCAACACACTTAAGGTGGAAACCCTGTTATTTGAATACTTAAATGCTAATGAAATTCATTCAGTTGCCTAAATGCCACATGCAGTAGCAGTCACACGCATTCATATATTATTAATGATATTTAAGTGAATGGACAATTTCAACTTTCAATCTATTAATGGGAATTTTACCTTATTAATTGGTGAGTCTAATAGCAATTACGATGATAATTATTTTTCCCGTGTCAGTGTTGCTATATGGACACTTAGGCATGCGTAATTCTCTTGAAGGACCTACTTAATACTCACATTGTAGTATATATGATGGACAGGCCCTGGATTTGAATTCAAAATAAATCGAAACGAAATGGGTCTACTGATAAACTATTATAAAACTCTTCAACTTAATTTGTAGAAAAAATACTTTGAAAAAAGATGTTTTTACAAGACATATTTATAACCATTTCGCTATATATATGTATAGTTTTCAATCTTAATTAGTGTAGCTCCCCTTGAAATTGGCTGCGGTGTAGACAGCTGATTTAATTTAATGGAATCTAAAACGTGTACCGCCGAGGAGGAATACAAATTATATACAGTACTTGTGAAACGCTGTTTCAATAGATGTTTACTCTTATCGAATATATTATGGGCTTTCAAAACATGAACTTACGCGTGGGCAATGGCAAACCGAAGGTTTAAGGCGAGGGCGAATGTTGGAAGTTCGGAAAAATTTTGATAGAAAAATGTTGGTATGAAATGACGGAAATAGGTTGCTCTATACTCAACCACATTCAGAAGAAATATTTATCCAAAGTATTTTAAGAGAAAGTTTGAGAATTCCGGAAATACGTTTTTCCCATTTTCATAAAACGGCTATTTTTTCGCCATTTTCCTAATATGACAGTTTTACTTCTGGGCAATCCGAAAGTTGCTACAAAAAGGGTTATTTATACCTCACCTTTCTTTTTACTCATATTCAACACAGCATACATTGATGTTGACCTGTCATCCTTTGTGGCATAAATAGAGGAATCATCTGTCGACGAGGAATTGGTTTCAGTTTCTGACAGCATCGAAACATTATCTTTAGCTGTAAGTTCCATATACTCAAAGCTTCCTTCTCTGCGATAAATCTGTCTGTTCTTTTCCCTCCTATCCGGCTCGTTTTCAGTGTTCCCATTTCCCGAATTTTTATTTACAAATCCAACAAACGTTTTCCAGTATATTCCGTTCAGTTTTTTCTGGGATAAACTCCCCGCGGGGGAAGTGTCCACAGACATAACGGTTTCGTTTCAGTATTTCTTACTCAAGTTATAAGTAGTTTATATATCTGTTTCGAAAAAAAAATATGTAGTCATATAATTAGAATATTTTATTGTTATTTCCTACTCCAATACTATACCATTCTCGTCGATGCATAAGTATGACAACTGACACATACGGATCGCAATAGAAGTAAACAAGGATAAATAACTTGCACAATACACAATATCGCAGTATCCCCTGTGTCGGCATCTTGTTATAAAACCTTCAAAAAATAATAGCCAAACCCTAAAAGATACATTGATATGGTTGGCGTGAGTGCGAGATTGACTTCAACCTAACTCGTGAACAAAAAGCGAAATATAGCTGGACAGGAATATAGAGAATACCACAGAAACAAAGGTATAAACAAAATATTGCACATAAATATTTAAAATATAATACATTCGCTATGAAGTCGGTACAACTCAGCACCCATTTTTAGTTCAATCATACTAATTTTACCAAAAGCGTCGTCTTAATACCCGCTTTACCATATAACATAAACAACGCAGCTCACGAGGAAATGAGGCCTGATTTCCTGAAATATCCAGGTCCCTTGCAGTTTCGAATGTTCCACAAAGTATAAAAATACGACTAGTGTAATAACCTCACATGGTGAGAACAGCACCAATGCTGTCTAATATTTTTTATTATTTTGGGGCTAAGAAGAGATACGCGAAAACATCTATCTGCGAAGTAGGAATTAAACAATGAAAAATCTATAACCGAAGTCAAATTTCTTCCAGTATCCAACAAATTATTCACCTCAACTGTCATCGTATACAAATTGGATGCTTATTTTTTGCTACCGCCGATATGACGCAATTTATTTTGTTGTTATTTTCAGGCTAGTGAAATTGATATGACTGCAACTGACCCAGAAGCAAAACAAACCGGCCTAATACGCACATCCGCTGAAATTGTAAACCAGGTAGTAATAACTAAGCTGTAAATTGAAAGGCATTTTGTAGTTTGTCAATGTAAATTTACCTAAAACTTAATCAAACTTTGATAATATTGACCATGCAGTGTTTAGAGCACGCAATTTGAAAACTTATATTTTAACTTACATCACCTTTAACAAATTAAATACCTACACAAACACGAGTAAATTATATTCTAAATTTTCTTATTTTTCAGCATTGTTTGCCAGAAAACTCAATATTAAAAGAGAGCTTTCTAAGTGTAGACTTGAAATCTATCGCTTTCTGAAATACTTCAATTACTGGGCTCATTTACCCACTGGGCTCATTTACCCACCCAAAAAGTCATTTCTTTAGTGGGGGGTCTCATGTGACAACATTTAAATTTCTCCTCCACACGAGTTCAATGGGGGGTTGCTGGTCAGAATGATGTCATCCTTACAACAGGGTAGTTTCACTTGTGCTACTACACACTTGGTTAATTTCCGGGTAGGTATGAGGTTAAATAACAAAGTGGACTGGAGTGGACAGTACAATATACTTGATAACAGATACCTTATCTTTGGTCCAATTCACGGGATCATAATAGATTTTGTAGTAGAAATGCCAACTTATATTAAAACTTCGCGACTACCTATAGCTCTGAAAATTCAACCATAATGCTTCCCCAACTCAAGAATGGCATTTTTAGTCGATGTTACGGTGTGTTCCCTCTCTGAATGGAATGGTTCACCCAAACCATTCCGAAATGCATAACACTTTTTCTTACACTTCACCAGTAAAATAAAAGCTATACCAATAGTGCCATTACTTGCAGTAACTGTCTGAGATAGAACGAAATGACTGGCCGAGTAGCTATTCGAAATTGCTAATATTTTCCTTACACGATCATACTAACAAAAGACCAGTGGAACCCTTGCTTGCAGTGACTGTCACGGGCTGAAGACGTCAGCACGTTATTCCTATCAATAAGCCGACTAAAGGTTACGCAGGCCTCGATTCACGACACGAATCATTAGGTAATGATTAGGGATGCTTATTACTAAATTAGAAGATTTTGTTGATCTTTAAGCAATTTAACACGCGTCATCATTAATACACGTTAAATGATCGAGGTCCAATCAATTCTAATGACAAGTAAATAACAAGTTTGAGCTTGTTGGATCTACCGTGTATGCCACAGCAATGAAAATCGTGAGGTTTAATTCTATTTCAGAGTAACGATAATAACCATTTATATTGATGATGGAAGGTGACTCTCAGGTTGTCAGTATTAAAGTTGTGTATATACAGTCTATTTTATTGATTAATTCCAAGACTTCAAAGAGACATATGGACAGCTTGCGTACAGTCCGTTAATTTAAAGAAGAAGTGGGCTTGGTTCTTGTCTCATTATGGACTGAAATAGGACTAAAATTACTTTTACTTTATTTCAACCTCAATATATTTTCACATTGCTATTGGTGTTAGTTTCATCTCAGCTAGTTTTCAGACTGTTTCATTTAGACAATGTATGGGTTGTTCAATGCTGCTGTAGGTTCATTTCTAGAGGGGGTTGATGTCAGCGTCTGCTTGTTCAGGTCTTTCTCGGGTTAAACATCGCCCACGAAATTAATATGCAACTAAGTCTAATAACATTATTATGCAGTACTGAATGAACAATAAACAATACCCTGTGCTACCAGACAATGTATATGGCGCTTGTTAGGTCACGATTCCTTATTATATACGCTATTTGTGAGGCAGGCGGTGGACACGAAAAACCACAAGGTCGCAATTAATTGATTTGATTATATCAACACCATTAGTATGGCGGTCCGAATAAAATACCTCGCGGTTTTACTAACAATAGAAACATCTATCGATTAGGTTTGAGAATGAAACATATGTATTTCCATCTCATCTCTAACATTCGTTCATGTTTATGCAAATCGTGGTAATCTTCACTTCACGATATTCCTATATCCGGTGTTACTAAACAAATTGCCTCCAGACAATACCGTCATTCCTGTGAGCCATAAGAGGGCTATCATAAAGTCATAGTTTCGGGTTTCAATATAGACAACTTTATTCCCCTTTCTTGCGAATAACAACTATTTGTAAATGTATGTATAAGTTAAACTGTATGTATGCCTTATTTGAAATTTGCATTAACTCTGTTAAGGGCTAGTAGGATACGATATAGCCAGTGGATTCGATCAAGTGCAAAATGTTTTAGGTGGTGACTTTTTTATTTTAAATGGTTCTAAATATCTCTAGCCCAGTGGTTCTCATTTTTTTCGTGGCCAATTTTCGTTGCACGAAAAAAACTGTGGCCAATTAACTTTTTCATGCAAGGGAGAAAATTCAAGAAAAAGTCGTTGCTCTGTAGCAAAAACAGCATCATCATTCATTGCCACTGCAGTCATAATTAACTAATAACAACTTTTGTTAGGTTTGTGGCCCATCTGAAAATGTTTCTGTGGCCCGGCAGTAGGCCATGGCCCACTGGTTGAGAACCGGTGCTCTAGCCTAAATATAAATGGTGATATATGAGCCAAGAGTGCTAAGGCTCCGTAAATCATTGCAAGAGCCAATAATTAGAAAGCTTTTACCATATCCAAACCTAAAATAACATTCGGTTCAACATATTATTAATCAAAATAATTATTATTTTGAGCCCGGAAATATGGAATAGATGATGATGGTCCTAACGATTAAATTGTCTATTTCAAACTCCAAATACAACGTCACGTGTGTATGTATACAAGTTCTGAAATATGCTGATAAGCCAAATAACTAGGGTTCAATATGAGGATGAAAAACGGAGTATTTCACCATCTCACACGTAGTGAAGAAAATTGGGCCGGCTATGTGAAACAGGAATCATTCCTGTTTTCCAAATCTTGCAACAAACAGGGTCTCGAATATTTTAAGAGTTACAGAAACCTAAAACATAAAACGGTTATAACAAACATTTGCTGGCGCATAGCGCAACACCTAATATTTCTATTTTTGCCGTTTCAGTGTTATTTATCAGAAATCAATTTTACCACCGAGTGCGCTTGACCCTTTTGATCAACTGAAGAATCTCCCTCTCCCCCCGGACCCGTCTGGGGTGGAGATTTTTCAGTTGGGTACCCTGGGGAGGGGGGGGGGATTCTTCAGTTGATCCGACTCTTTTTTAAGAAAATTCCATTGGAATAATATAAAAACAAGTAATTACCCAGCATAGCTGCAGAACTTAACATTTTAAATTTAGTTTTTGAATGAATATAACAACCCATTTGCCCTATCTTCTCTCTGATTCAAACTTTCAAAATGCCAATCAGTAACAGTTTATGAACTCATATACTCAAATCAACCTAACGCTATCACAACCTACGCCTAAATATGTAAAAAGAAGTAAAACAAAATGCTAATCGTGAACACAAAATGTCAACCGTGCTATTGATAAGTATGCAAAATAATCTAGAATTCAAACGTAAATTGTACTTACCGTAGTAATTATGGAATCCCTGCGTTGGCCTCTATTTACTTCTAAGCGGTTTTGAAGCGTTAGACTTAACAGTGTAACTGACATCGCAAATTATATCTCGGTTTCAAATCCCATAACCCCACCTCACCCAAAGCGTTTATTCTTTCCAAATAATAGTAACTCCCCACATATCGTTAGATATCAATAGCTGCTTTGAAAAAATGATAACCCGGTACAACAAGCATGTTTATACCTGAACTTGTAACGCTATTGGGAAATATACTTTATAAATATGCAAAATAAACTGATATTTAAACGTAACTTGTACTGACTAAGATAGAATGCAAAGCCTTATACGTTGGGCGCCAATAACTATTGTAAAGCGCAATCATAACCCTGCAAAATTTATTCGTTTGTATCTGGAATTTGCGTGATCTTCGAAAGAAGAAAAGTGCCTCGACTGAACCTGAGAACTTTAGATCTCGGATCAAATATGTGATACCATAAGTCACTACGAAATCGAAGCGATACTACAATTTTACTTTGAAATAAGTATTTTTCTTAGCGCGATAAAAACCGTGCACAATTTGATCGTTTATGTCTGAAATTTGCTAGACTTCCGAATAAGAAAAGCGCTTCGTTTCCAAATTTTCCCTGAAACCTTCAAACCTCCAGTCAGATATGTGATACCATAGTCTCTGCAAAATCAAAGCGACACTACAAGTTTACCTTGAAATGACTATTTCTAAGCGAGATTAAAACCGAACACAATTTGATAGTTTATATTTCAAATTTGTCTGATTTCAAAGATAGAATAGCGCTTGATCCAGTTGTTGCTATTCCCCGCTATTCTTTGAACGTCGTTCGGGTTCCTGACCTATGAGACACATTCATTTTCTGAAATTAGAAAACCCTTTGTTCGTGGATTCGACACAAAAGAGAACCCTTTTCTAGAATTCTCCTTTACGAAATCAAACTACACCACCCATGAAATGACACTGCATGATGCAAGCATTTCCAGTTAGATCTAAAAACGACTACACGGATCTTGTACTTCCGGCTGTGCGAGGTATCTAGTAAAACTAAATATAAAATCACAAAAATAAAATATGTGACAGACAACGTCGACAAAAGCGTACATTTCACTAAAATCCTACCGTAAATATATGTTTACTTCCCCAATTTATAACCTGAAGATTTTCAACGAGTATGTAAAATAAAACGTGATATAATTTCACATTTTTGAAGCCTTTGATCGTCTTGTTCATCTCGACCCTTTTATGTCACGAATGATTTTGCTTTGCCTTTAATTTTACTATTTTTTTATTCTAAATGTTCTAAAATAGCGGATCAATATCTAATATCTTCTTCGAATACATCACCGTGCAATAGACAGGAGCAATGATGATTTTAAATTGAGCATTACACTTTACGATTTAATGTTTCTAATTCTAGTCAAATATTTGCGTGTTACGCTTGATTAATTATTTTACGTAACATAATATAATTACAATCTTGCTATATTCATTCCAATTATGTTACGTCGTGCGGTGTTGCATAATATTATATAAACATGTAAAAAAAACAGAAAATTTCTTACTATTTACCGTGTTTGCTTCTAACACAATGCCAATTAGATATAAGGTTTAGGTCAGGGGTTCTTAAAACTTTTTGGTGTTATGAAGACCGTGAAAAGATTAATATATGTACGGAACCTCACGATGAATTTATAAAAAAAATCACTTCGTTAATTACCGATTGAAGTTGCTGAGTAAATTAAATTACTTTATTTTATAATTCGGATGCATTTGCTGCTTTGTATTTAAAAAAATCATTCTGTATTTTAATAAATAAACGGATATCTCGCGGGTCCTCTGGACTTCTTTAACGAACCCCTGAGGCCGTATGGAACACTTTGAGAACCTATAGTTTAAGTGATTCCGTCTCAAAACGTTGTTATTCCGGCAGTGATCTTTTTACATATTACCGGACTGAAATCGCTAATATTGCATATTATAAGAAGCTTGTAAATAAATTCTTCTTCGTACACGAATCCAGGATTGAAACTAAAAAAATATTTGGGGAATTGTTTTTAATGTTCTGGGATAGATCCGCAATCCAATCAGATTTTAAATTATTTTAATACATGAATTATCAAGGCAAAGTAAAACTAGAAGAGAGAGTTATGCTATTTATATAACGTTGAACGTCGATCTATATTTCTCAATTAGAATATCTGTGGATAAAGTTTCACCAAACCAGTCCCCATAAAATGAAGATTTTTTGCTCCCGAAATCATTCAAAAAGATGTTTTGATTACGTTTCCAATATCAAGTCCACAAGAAATTTCTTATCCGTGTAGATATTCTATTCTCACTTATCATGAATGTTAATTGATTCCTCCAAATTAGTCAATTTTTAATTGATATCACATTTAGCTTATGACTCATTACTGTTTTATAATCACACAAATGACCCGGCATTTCCAGATATTATGTGGAAATTATTGAGTCCATAATTTCTGACATTTCTAGAAAGAAAAAAACTCTCACATCATAGCTTATTGCAGTTTAATTCCCCCAATATTGCATTCTTGCAAGTCTGTTGTATGAAAATTACACTCTCGCAATGTCCATAAAATCTCTTTATAATTTCAATTTTGTTATGAAGTCAGTTCACAATATATATTAACCAGGTTTGTTAGTTTTTAATCACTAATTCTGTATTTTTACTTCGTTTAATACATCTGTGAGAACCAAAACAATATTATGGTATCGATAAACTCCCTTCACATTTTGAAAAATTACTTTTTACATTTTTAGGACTTATGGACACCCTATACGTCTTACCAAAATCCGCTTTCTTAAAACTGCATTGTCACAAATCATCTTTTGCTAAACTACCGTATATTCACACAACATTCCGCATCTTTGCAAATCTACATACTTCCAATAATCGCTCTTTTCAAGCCCGTAATGTAATTCTTCCCAAAGTCGTCCTTCCTAAAACTATATTTTCAAAATCATTCCTCGCTGAGCTATTATTCAATTTGGGGAAAATTACACTCGTAATGTACTTCTTCCGAAAGTCTGCTTTCTTAGAACTTCATTTTCACAAATCCTTTTTTGTCAAACTATATTCACACAAGAATTTGAAACATAACACAACATTTCAATTCTGTTGAGTTTGCAATCAGGTCGCGTAATAGTCACATGACAGTAATGTCATTTTAATCAATCGAAGCAGTTAACAATAAAATATTTTTCGCTTACATATCCATTTCTCTGTTTTCGATTGCCAAATATGGAATATTTAAAAAAAAATACCATTTTTAGACATTAACAGTTAATACCGTTTCCTTTCTTAGTGCCTAATGATCCATGTATTTCTGATTGCTATTACCCATCTTGCGACACAGTTATCGTATTAAGGCGGCTATTCAACGAATACAGAACAAACGATTAAATTAATGATATCAGGAGGAATTATTTTGGGAACATCAATAATCGAAACTAAATGTTAAAACGTACCATTATTTCAGCAAGTGCGACCTTATTACTAGTGAAGTTATATATATAAATAAATCATGAATTGAGCATGTCGATGGATATAAATTACGGCAACAGTCCACTGAATAACTTATATTTGTACCACACTATTTTTTAATTTTTCTACTTTTCAGGAGAGCCTAAACGGTGCATATATCAGCTTGAAGAGGCAGAAGTGACTTTTTGTGTCTTCGGAACTAGTGTCTCCAAAATTTCACGTCCAACTTGTTCTTGTTCAGTACATTTGTACCACACTTGACCCGGTGTTTAGAGCAAGGTAGATATATATTGTGGGGCAATTAGATGAAGATAAAGTTGGGATTCATGGTATGTTTTGGGTTAGGATAGATATAAAACTTTAGGCAAAAAGTTAGAGTAAACATATAAAGTGGGATTCATGGTATCTTCTGAGTTAGAAGAGATATAAAACTTAGAGAAAAGGTTTAGAGTTAGCATAAAAAGTGGAATTTATGTTATATTCTTGGTAGAATAGTTAAAAAAACTTTAGGAAAATGATTAGAGTAAGCATTTGAAGTGGGATTCACGTTATGTTCTGGGTTGGGATAGCGATAGATATAATACTTTAGGCAAAAAGTTAGAGTAAACATATAAAGTGGGATTCATGGTATCTTCTGAGTTAGAAGAGATATAAAACTTGGAGAAAAGGGGTAGAGTTAGCATAAAAAGTGGAATTCATGTTATATTCTTGGTAGAATAGTTAAAAAACTTCAGGAAATGATTAGAGTAAGCATATGAAGTGGGATTCACGTTATGTTCTGGGTTGGGATAGCGATAGATATAATACTTTGGCGTAAGGATAGAGCAATTATATGGAGAAGGATTCATACAATTGGTACAAGTGTGCGGCTGCAGGACGGGGCCATTGCGGAGCAAAGAAAAAAAAAGGTACATGTATTGGACAAGTGGACACGTCACGTTTGAGACATACGCTTTTAGACCAGATTACACATAGCTGTGTCTGAATGGTAATTCAAACGGCTTCATCTAATTATGCGTTTATATAGCTTTAAAGCATAAAGCTATAATATAACCTTACACGGACCAGGAAAACGTATTTCAGGTCCAGACAAAACGAGATGATCCAACATGGTATTATTTCGTGATCATGATTTTGCATATTTTGTGCGAAGTACCTGTTTCTGTGTTAATTGTCTACTACTCATAGATTAGATATTACGTCATTAGTAAATCTCTATGCCAGTATTTCTGTATGACTGCGGTGTTCCGCGGCGTTCTAGGGTTCCGCCAGTACAGTACAGGGGTTCATTAAAATCAGAGAGATTATATTTCCATATATATGTTGATTAAATATAATCAAATACCTGTTTACCACTATTATTAAACTAATTACACTTGAAAGATCAGTTTGTTTTGCCCGGAATAGACTTGCTTTTATTTATATATTGATAGTTTATATAATTCAGGTAATAAAAGACAACTAAACTATTGCACAGGGATTCTTCGATCCTCTGGAATATTGCATTGGAGTATCGCTCAACTGAAAGACTAAAAACCACTGCTCTATTCCAATAACAAATACTTGGAACAGATATTTCAAATATCTGGAATAATATAATCAAATCCAGTTCTTA